CCTAACCCTAATCATAGACCGCGACCCTTACCCTAAACTAAAAGAGATAAATTTTTTTTTTAATTTGATACTGATCTACGTGTTACACATACCGGTGATTTCCCCTCCGGTTAACAGTTAATCGTAGTTATTTTCTTATTAAAAACGTCTGTATAAATCAGATACAAGCGAAAAAAAATTTATACCATTAATTTTATAAACAGTAAGTGAATATAGAGTGGAAAATAGGTATTTATTATAATCAAAACACCAATACTTCTTGAATCAAACCAAACATGCTATATAAACCCAACAAATTCATGCATTAAACTCGGGCCATTCAACATTAGCAAGTTTATTCTGCATAAAGCATTTAATATGAGCCTAATTCAAATCTTTAAACTCTATAATTAGTACGTATCAAGAACGTTGCTTAAAGAGAGTTAAGACTATTAAGATATATTGTGTTTAAAATTTAAGTATCAAAACAATCGCGATTACCTTATTTTAATCTGTTGATTTATCTATGGTATATGCTATACACAGTTACGTAATTTGTATGGTCCAATATGTGGCGAATAAATTTGTCTTCTAAGTAAAGTTTTTCAGGATTTTGATTATTTTGCACAGTGAACGTTGATACCTTGCTAAGGGATTTCTTTTAGTGTTATATTCATAAAAAGTACTGTAAAACATATACATCAGCCAATCAGACAAACTTCTGCCTATGAGAATTAATTCTCTCTTTGACAGAATGACGTTTAGATATTGGAACATCATGAACAGAGGTTGCGGGACTAGGTAAAGTAGTTAACGGGTCGTCTATGCATCGGTTATGAAGCTTTTTAACATAATCATCTCATTTGAATCACCTAACGTAACGAATTGCCTTTTGGTTGACTTATCAGCGTAATTATCAAATATTTGTTTCGTCATCCTATTATCGGTGGTATCAGGTACAGAAGTCTGTCGAGTATTAACGAATGGAGATATAAGAGAAGTTGTAGATGAACATATGCGCGGATTTGTGGAGACCATTGACGCGCGCCCTAAAATTTTGGTTACACGATATGCAAAGTGCGTCAACTAGTTGACATCCAATCATATGCGCAGATTTCATGACACAGAAGAAGCACGGTAAAGAAGTTAAGAAAACTAAGCTTTTGTCGGTAACAAACTTTATACGTAGGAGAAAAAGATGGGAAATAAAAAGATTTTTTTCTTTTTGATTCACAGGAAAAAATAATTCTTTTATTTTCAAACAGGATTACGTACGTATGAATTGGGGGAATTACATACATGACTGTCTAAAATTGGAAAACCATAGTAGCGCCATCATCAAAATGAATAAAATGGCGCTGGGGGTATCAATTAATTAATTATTAATCGATTCAAAAAAAAATACGAGTTAGTTAATTTCTAGAATTTCTGATCCAATAAAATTCTATAGAAATACCACAGGCAAACTCATTTGTTATCATTGTCATCTTGACAATATTGACAATGTCGAATATCAATATTGTTATTTAAACCGTTTAAGTTTAAACCTGTTACATAATCATATGGAATTTCTTATTTTTTGCTTATGTTTGGTTGTTCAAAACGTTTTATGTTTCGATATAAGGATATTGTTAAACAATCACCAAAATATTATCAGTATTTATTTTATTTCGTTATTAAATATGATTGTTATTTAGAGGTGCAGGGTAACTTTGCCGCAACGTGCCGTAACTATACGTATCAGGTATTAAATAATTATCTGTTACGTATAAAAGTTATGGCGGCACGTTACAGTAGCTGGTAGGGTGTTGATCACACTATACGTATACGTAATACGTAAAATCAAACATTAATTAGGGTTGCATATGAAATTTTTTTTTTTATGATCCGTATTTATTTACCGCGGATAATAGTAACTTTCGGTATCGAATTAGCAAAATAATTAGTAGTTTAATTTTTTGTAAAAGATAGAACAAATTGTATAATTTAACGTAATAAAGGCATTTTTTAGATTTATTATATTTTACTAGTAGTAAATTCTTTAAAAATTTGAATGAACTTTATCAAAATTTGACGAACATAAAGTTATAGAAATTTGTAAAACCGAGTCTATTGTTGAAAAGAGCATAATCAAAGCTATCGATTAAAAAAAAAAAATGGTAAAAAAAATATATATCTCTCTCATTCAAAAAGTGTACCTTTGTAGTTAATTTTTCGAAATTTCTGAAACCAATAAAAAATCCTCATATGTAACCCTGATTATGGTTTGATTTACCAATTTTATGAACATTGGGACGATTCACTTGCACCTCTAATGTTATTTCAGCAAAAAGCATATGTAAATATACCGGGTGTTTCAAAAGTCCCACCATTGGTCCCTATTTCTTCAATGACCTTATATACATATTTGTATAAATAACCAACGGTAGTTTACTTAGTAAGGAAAAAAGGTTTAAATACTGAAAAATAGGGACCAGTGGTGGGACTTTTGAAACATCCGGTATATTTAGAAATATTATGTATTTATCTTTACGTATAGTATAATAATAAAAAAAATAATAATTAAGAGATTCTTTAATTTGTTATAAAATATTAATAGCCAAGATTACATTCACATTTGAATTAATGTCTAAACTAGGACAATATCTAAATAAATTATAATGATATATCACGTATTAATAAACTAAAATTCATCTCTTATTGGTAATTTATGATCTTTCTTTGGCGGTTTTGGAGGCAGACCCAATTCTTCCTCAAAGTCATCAAATAATTTATCCATTTCGTCTTTTTCATTCTTTTTCACCTTTGGTTCTTCTTTTGTTTCTTTTTCTACCTTTACTTTATCTTTTTCATCCTTAACTTTCTCATCCTTAGGCTTTTCTTTGTCATCTTTAACTTTCACCTCTTTTGCATCCTTAACTTTCTCATCTTTAGGCTTTTCATCCTTAGCTTTTTCATCCTTAGGCTTTTCATCCTTAGCTTTTTCATCCTTAGGCTTTTCATCCTTAGCTTTTTCATCCTTAGGCTTTTCATCCTTAGGCTTTTCATCCTTAGCTTTTTCATCCTTAGGCTTTTCATCCTTAGGTTTTTCATCCTTAGCCTTTTCATCCTTAGCTTTTCCTTCTTTCTCTACCTTGGTCTCTTTTTCTTTGTCATCTGGTTTTGTAACTTTAACTTCTCCATCATCACCAAGGTTAACATCTAGATCAATAATGTCGTCATCGTCTTTCTTATCGGTAGCATCAGTCTCTTCTCTTTCTTTCTTCTCTAATTCGTCTAATTTTCTCTTTGCTTCTTTTTCCGCATCTTGGAATTTGACAAATGTCTCATTGGCAAATGATTCCGCTGTTTCAACATCATCAGTAATCAATATATTATCAAATATTGTGCCAGATCTCACTTGCCACAAATCGAATCCAAGAAATGCGCTGTTGTAAGCATGAAGTTGTGGTTCCGGAACATAATCTGGATTTGGAATCATAGGTGCCTTCCATACTCCTTTGTACTTTGGATTGGGAATCTTCTTTGGTTGCCACTCTCCTTTGTATTCGGGATTAGAGATATGTGGTGGCTCCCAGTCCCCGTCCATTTCATCTTTATAAAAAAAAAAACATTTAGTTAATGCTCAGGATTTTAAAGTATCCTATTCCTAATTAGGAAATATCTACCATCCCAGTCATCAGGTTTTTTTGCATCAGGATCTGGGATCGTGGGTGGGTGGTCTACCCAATCAGCTGGCTTATGATCATCTGGATCAGGGATCTCGGCTACATCATCCCAATCATCCGGTTTTTTAGCGCTGGCATCTATTTATACGTTGATTCAATTAATTTTAGAAAAAAAAAAAAAATATATATATATATATATATTCTTGCGATTATGCTAACCTATAATTTCTTTTGGTGGAAGCAAATCAAAATCTTCCTCTAAAGTTCCAGACGCTTCTTCTACATTATCAATCAAGATTTTGTACGTCTATTAAAGGAAATGTCTCTTCAGGTTACGTGAATTTTACATGAATTGTAACTAATGAAGTATGCTTATGAAGTATACACACATGATCGGGCTTTAATATCAAAGTATATAAATGTGTTAATTGATCCGATGGTGCCGTTAAAGTCTTTTTTACTTGTTTGTTTTCTCCCTTATAATGAACAATTAAATGAACTTTACGGTTCATACCACAAATATCGGGCTATTATAATAACATGTGAATAAAGTAATATCACATGATTAGTCAGTTTAGTCAGGTGAATTTGTCCAATAAGATGGATCAACGTTTCAATATATCTTACCCCAAACATGATATTGTATAATGATTCTCCTTTGAAAGACAACCCATCAAACTCTGGAGGAAGAAGCTAAACGCGACATTGGGAATATCACGTAAAGGATTAATTAATTTGATGATCTATTTAAAGATATCACGCATTTTCATCAATGCATACTTTTATATAGCCTCCACCGCAATCAATGTTTTGTTCATGTTTGACAGAGAATTGAACCACTATATTAAAGAATGATTAATTTGACGTTATAAGTTGTAAAGTTTCTGAATCAAATGATAAAGACGTACCCAAATCCTTATCCGAATTATCGATTATCTTGTCAAGTTTCGTAGAAATTGCATAAAACCTTGCGTCTTCAGAAGTTTGAAGGCCACGAGACTCAATTTCGTCAGCGTAAAACTCACCAGCTGTTACTTTAAACGTGCCGAGGTCTTCCTTGTGCTTGGAATGAACCCAACGCTAATTAAATATATAAAATTTATTAAAGGATAATTAACAAGTGTTAGTCAAGTATATTTAACAAGTTCATCACCTTTATTTATACCTTTTCCCAGTCATCGTCGGAAAACGTTTCTTTTAAGTATATTTCAGCTGAAGTGAGAGTGGTTAAAACCAAAAGACCTAGGACGAAAAAAATGGCGGATCGCCTCATTTTACCTAAGTATAATTATAATTATTAGAGTATTAAAGAATAACAAGTTCGAAGTTCGAAAACTTTAATCTGTCGGTCATTTTATTATCATTCGTAAAAAACGTGTCAAAAAATGAATGGTGCATCATATTCTAAAAATTTATATATAAATTCCGTTCGTCATCTCCGAAGATTTGTTACACAGACTATAAATAGTTTATTTAAAAAAAAAATGACATTTCAAATTTAAACATCGATTTTACTTTTATTCCATTATTCTTTTAGTGTTTATTTATATCTATGAAACTTTCTTGTAATGTCTGAAGATCTTGACATTGACAAATATCTCGCAACTGAAGCTACACAATTACAAAAGGATCAAGAAGTAGAACGTATCCTTTCAGCGTTTAAACTGAATCCTTTTGACATTCTTGATCTAGCACCGGATTGTACAGAAAAAGATATTAAAAATGCTTATCGCAAAAAATCATTACTTATTCACCCAGATAAAACTAAACATCCAAAAGCGCAAGAAGCATTCGCATTATTGAAAAAGGTGTGAATTTAAATTAATAAAATTGGCAATTTATAAGCTATACTATTATGAACATGTATATTTCTTACTGCGGAGTGTATATTCAATTTTTTAATTTCAGGCTGAAACGGAATTATCTAATGAAAAATCACGACAACTTCTTTTAACAATCATTGAAGAAGCAAAGATAACTTTAATTACAGATCAAAAATTAAAATCTACAGACCCATTCATAAACACACCCGAATTTAATCTACAAATTAAACAAAAAACTAAAGACATTTTAATAGAACAAGAATTACGTCGTCGGAAATTATTAAAAAGAGAATTGGAAGCACAAGGATTGGCAGCTCAAAAAGCTGAACAAGTTGAGAGAGAAAAGAAAAGGAAAGCAGAAGAAGAAAAATTATGGGAAGAAACCAGAGAACAAAGAGTTAATAATTGGAGAGATTTTCAAACAAAAAAAAGTAATTCATCTCAAGGTGGAACTAAAAAAAGGAAAAAGTTTGGTAGTGAATTTAAACCACCTAAAGTTTTGGCTGAGGATCCTTCTAAACCTTATATAAAACGACCCACGAATAATAGTTAATTGCTACAATTAAAATGCAATATATATCGATACAAAAAACGCATAGTCGTGATCGTGTATATATGTTGTACCTACGCATATACTTCACTCGATAATTTATCACGTGTTGCTTGTCAGCTTTTGATCTTATTGGTACTTACTAACAAGCGTGATATACTTGTATGATTTGTTATAATAGTCAATTACATGTATTTGGGTGGGTTGATATCGGTATTCGCTGGTTTGTGCTAATATTACCAATATAATTATTATTTCTTTTGATCTGGAAGTTTGTACTAAATTTACTGTAGTATACACAAAAAAATTATTTTAAATTAATTATTTAGCCAAATTTATTTAAATTTTGCTAAAATATATTTGAATATTAGAGTTATCTTTTTGTATAATTTAGTATTACTTATTAATAAAAATTTTATATAATTTAATTTTAAGGATGAATGTATTTGTTACATCCTGTAACACGCGTATTTGTAACAGCCCAAATAGTACAACCAATAAAAACAACCAAAAATTTGTGTAACCCAAACCCTAACTTTAACTACTATTGGCTAATACGAGGGTGTTACATGTCACAGGCTGTTACAAAAACATTTATTCTAATTTTAAATTCTCTGTATTGTTTTAAAATTTTGTTATATTAAATTTAGCCTAGTATTAAAAAGAAATAAAAATTTTAAATTTGTTAATAATCATTAATGATAATATTTGGCAGAGGTGTTATAAATCAATTGTAATCTAGGGATTACTATCAATATATAGCTTCTCTAAAAATTTTGTTGATAATTATTACATAATACCAATAAACAACTTATTTATTTATTATTTATTTATTAGAAGTTTACTAATAACTAGCCTAAAGTGTGATGACTTAGTGAAGTTGATAAGTTGTTTTTTTTTTTTTTTGTAGTCAAAGTTAGCCTCTTTGGCTTACTGCTTTTATTAGATACTAGGATCATGTGGTGTTCTTCAAGAGGGCCCCAGACAAGTACATTCTGACGAGAGTACATTTTAGTCATACCTGCATCTTTTGAATGCCTAATTAAATATCTATCTATTACTAGGTTCTATACTAGATGTTGTACCTGTAATCCACTATTACTTGAGCTACCCAATTAAACCTTCTGATCCAAGTTTCCTATGCTAATCCATCTAACCTCACCTGGAACATACAATATATTAGTCAGTCCATGTTTTGAAATCGTTACAAGTTCACCTTTAAGACTACTAGTATTTAACTGATTTATCCTCGAATACATCATCTGCTAGAGCCGTCTGTCATCTACTTTTAACATATGATCTAGTCTTTTTCGAATTGATATTACTGGATAGGTTTTATACCTTTACAAGTAGGTCACACCGCCAATCTCTACCGCAGAAAGGTAGCCAGATAGGTTCTAAACCTTTATAGGCAGGTCATACCATCTAACTACCTGGCCTTTGCAAAGTTCACCAAGCTTCAGTACTCTTCCTTCAAGACAACCCAGTACTTTCTCTTTCAGTATCCTCTAGTCGGTCTTCCCAGACTACCAATCCAGATGGTCTGGAAAGGATACCAGTCTTTTCTTTAGTTAATCCAATAGCCTGATTGGTGAAGTAACTTGCTGGTACTTTTGCTTTGTCCAGTTTTCTAGCTTCAGGTAGAGTCTGTTCTGGTAAGCATCGTTGAAAGCTTATGTTACCTCTCTATTCGGATCTTGCCAAGTGGGCTTTCCATAACGTCATTTATCGGATTAATACGATCCAAGGACTAATTATGAGTTTACGCCATCTTATCGGTTTTGTATTCTCTTTGTACAATTTATACATTACACAAATGCTCCAAATCTCTTTTAGATCGACCTGATAGTACAATGGATATTCTTCCTATATAAGGTATGACCGATGTTATAGGATCTTTCCAATATACGAGAGAGTTGTCGTTAGGTTCCGAAAATCTGAATCTGATGGATTTGGATTATCATCCGATCTGAACTGTGCGATCGGATTGGGCCTAATAAAACCGGATTGATCCTCGAATTGAGATATAAATACAAAAAAAAAATTGATATAATGATAACAAAACTTTATTAATTTACTTAGACTCACAGTAATAATAAAAACTGATTATTTATATTTTCTCGATATTTTCAAATTTCCTATTACAGCCAGGTTATATTAATATGTTGATTTATATTCAACTTTTTAGCCCAACTAGATCATTTTAGTCTGCCGAATTTGATATTCTAACTGGGTCATTTTGTTGATTTAGATTTAATATTCCAGCTAAGTCAGTTTGGTATGTTGAATTATATCCAATTTGATTACTTTGGTCAGTCATTTTTGTATGTTGAATTGGGTCAATTTACCTATCCGGGTTACTTGGTATGTTTAATTTTTTTATCTTAGTTGGTTTGCTTGGATACACTCTGGTATGTTGAGTTAGATTCAAATTTCTCATTATCATTATAGCAGGTTACTCAGTATACATAATTAAATTCAACTTGCTTATTTCAGTAGGATCACACCAGTATTTAAATTAGGGTTAACTTGCTTATTTAGCAGGTTGTACTGGTATTTACTGGTATTTTGAATTAGGTTCAAAATTTAAAAATCTTTTGAAAACTAATAAATCACCAGATCATATTAATCTTGAATTTAAGAAAATATTAGACAATGCGAGATTTAATTTATTTTGGAGTGATTATAATGAGTTCGGAGTTGTTAAAGAATAGAGAAAAAAAGGTTCAACCAGCCTATTCTTGTCAAGTCATTTTGGTATGTTGTTAGGTTATTCTAGCGGGTTACTTGGTTTGTGACATTTTGGTATTTTAAGTCTCTTTCTTAACTTATTTATTTTAGTCAGGTCAGTTTAGTATGTTGAATTAGATTCAGCTTGCTTATTTTAGCGGGTTGCTAGTTAAGTTTTAACTTGCTTATTCCAGCAAGATTACATTGATATGTTGAATTAAGTTCAACTTATTTATTTCAGTCAGATCATATTATTATTATATTTATCATCTTTTAATATTAAGATTTAAAAAAAAAAAATCTCATATTGGACAAGTGACAATCATAGCATTGACTAATAATTCAAAAACACAACTTAATGCAGTAAGGCTTGTGAACATTATTGAATGGATACCTATTAGTAAATTTACAAATACTGTATAAAGTACTTTGCTAAAAGAAGCTTTAATACTGTTTTTTAAGGCAGTATGATTGATGGGTATATTGAAGAGGTTAAAGATCAATATAAACATAAGTGCAATTCAGCAATAATAGTAATTACATGACAGTCACGGAGTATGCAAAGCAAGTCTTCGTATGTTAAGTTAGATTCCTTACTTATTATTTAATGTTTTTTTAATAATCAATTTTAATTTTTTTTTAATAATCAATCTTATCAATTTTAATTTATTAGGTTCAACATGATTATTCCAACCATGCTATTATTCCAACCAGGTCAATTTGTTATGTTGAATTAGGTTTATTCAAGTATGTTGAATTAGGTTCAATTTGATTATTCTAGCTGGATTGTTTTGGTAGATTCAACTTGCTTATTCTAGTGTTGGGATCGTATTACTTAATACCGAAGTTGCACTAGGATGGATATTAATAGAATTAACTTAATAACAATAAGGAGGCTATACAATTGTGATAGATTTGTATTGTACTTTAAAAGTCTATTTTAATAGACTGATGATGTAATTATGCATATAAGAAAATAAATAAATAAGGAGGCTCGATCTGTAAGATTGATTCTACTTCAATTTTCGTGCTCTTAATAAATATACTTTAGAGTAGTTAGGCAAAGTGCAAATAATACAGTGAATAATTCAAACAAGTGCGTAATATTAACGAATGAGCCTACTTATTCAAAGCAGGTTACTTGGTACGGATTAATTTGATTATTTAAGATGTCGAGTTTGTTTATTTCATTCAGGTTATTTTGGTATGTTAAATTAGATTCAACTTGTTTGTTCTAGCCAGATCACTTAGGCATATTGAATTAAGTTCAATCCATCTTACTTATTCTAGCAGGGTCGTCTTGGCTTATTTCACTAGCTTATTTGGTATGTTGAATAAGGTTTAACTTGTTTTTCAGATCAAGTCACTGTTATATTGATTATGTTCAATATATTTATTCTAGCCAGGTCAATTTTTGGTATGTTGAATCAGATTCAATTTGTTTATTCCAACCAGGTTAGTTTTTTTATATTGAATTATATTTGATATACTTCGATATACTAACTAGTATATCGACTTACTTATTCTAGCTGGTTATTTTTGGTATGTTGGATCAGCTATTCTAGCCAGCTCACTTTATATGTTCATTCTAGTCAGGTTATTATACATATTCTAGCTGAATCATTTGGTTTGTTGAATTACATTCTACTTGATTATTTTAGCCTGCTCATTTGCTCATTTTGGGATGTGAATTAGATTCTGTTCGATTTTTCTAGCCAGGTCATTTTGGTATATTGAATTAGGTTCAATTTGATTGTTCTAATGTGACATACCAAAATAACCTGGATGGGTTCAATGTGTTCAATGTGATTATTCCATCAGGTCACTTGGTATGTTGATAATTTAGAGTTAACTTGATCATTTCAGCTGTGTTTGCCAAATTATGTTCATTATACTTACAGCTGGGTTATATGAACATTTTGAATCAGGTCCAATTCTTTATTCTGGTCAAGTTATTTCAGTCGGATCTTTTTTGGTCGATTTATATATTCTACCAGGTCACTTAGTATGTTGATTTAGATTCAACTTGTTCATTTCAGCCGAATTATATTCATTATAGTTATTACAGCCGGGTTATACAAAGCAGGACACCTAAAAACAGAAATAAAAATAAACATTTTTAAAAAATAATCTAAAAATATACCAACAAGATATAAAAAAAATTAAGCCGCTATTTTGTAGCAAAATCAATTTGCTACAAAATAGCAGCCTTTTTTTTAAAAAAAAATTACCTGTAATTGAAATATATCAATTTAAAAAAGTTGCATTTTCAT